ACTAACAAACCGCTCACACGAAGAATTAAGAATTCAGAGTTCGTATCACTTTGGAGCCAAGGGAAGAAATCGGATCCCATTTGCTTGGTATGGTTCTGTTTGCGGCAGAAAGCTTCCTTGGCCCTTTGGACCCTGGAAATGTGCAGAGTGTAGATGAAAAAAAGTGCAGCGCCACAAGCTGCAAACTGGGGGTCACTCCCCTGCATAAAGGTACTTTGATACTTTTGTTGCGGGATCACATCGCACAAAGAAAGCAATGGGATTGGCTTGTCATCCGGCCGCTCCTGGCCCCTGGGGTGCTTTGGCAGGTGACATTTGCAGTCTCGGCGGTTCTCAGCAGTCAGCAAAGGCACCCCGAGAGAGGCCAACACGAGCAAAGAAGGAACATTGAAATCATCGTTGGGCCCCATCTTCACGAGCTGACATCCTTCCCTTTCCCTTTCCTCCCTCGCCCCGTCAACCATCGTGCATCTGCATAGCCAACACTAGACTTCGTGTCTTTTCGACCGCCATTTCACTCTTTTTAAACTCTCACAGCCTCACTTGGCTCACTCTTTTTATATTCAAACCCACACACTCGCTGCTGTTATTCTCAGACAACTCTCGCTCATATAATACACCTTGACTCGCTCTGAGACATTTGTCCCCGCGGTTCGAAACACTTTCCAACGCGTACTTCATACCTACCACAGGTTCCCCGCGACTTCTTGTTTCTTTCTAGAATTAATCATCTTTTCATAAACCAAAATGCTCTCCAAGCTTCTCACGGTGGCTCTTGCCGCCTCACTTGCCACAGCTCAGACCTTTACTGACTGTGACCCCACAAAGAGGGGTAAGTAATATCTTTTCTTTTGAAATGACTTCCACTGACTCTCATTCTCGTGTATAGATGACTGCCCTAGCCGCAAGGCTGTTGGTTCCAAGCCGGTCGAGGTCGATTTCCGCAAGGGCCACAACAGCTTCTTCAAGGAGGCCGATGGAACCAAGATCGAGTACAGGCCCGACGTCGGTGCCGTTTACTCCATCTCCAACGAGAAGCAGGCTCCCACCGTCGGCAGCAACAAGTACATCTTGTTCGGCCAGGTTGACGTAACTGTCCGCGCCTCCAGGGGCGTCGGTGTTGTTACCAGCTTCGTTCTTCAGTCTGACGATCTGGACGAAATCGATTGGGAGTGGCTCGGCGGTGATGCCACTCAGGTCCAGACCAACTACTTCAGCAAGGGTTGCACCGAGACCTACGACCGTGGCGGTTACAGCCCCGTTGCCGACCCTATCAACAAGTTCCACACCTACACCATCAAGTGGACTTCTGAGCAGCTCGACTGGATCATTGATGGCAATGTTGTCCGCACCCTGAAGAACACTGGGCTCGGTGGCTGCTCCGGCTATCCTCAGTCCCCCATGCAGATCAAGCTCGGTACTTGGGTTGCTGGTCGCAAGGATGCTCCTCAGGGCACTATCGACTGGGCTGGTGGTCTCACCAACTTTGCTGATGCTCCTTTCGAGGGTTACTACCAGAGCATCCGCATTGTCGACTACATGGGCGGCAAGTCCGAGGCCACCGAGTACAAGTACGGAGACAGGAGCGGTACCTGGCAGAGCATCAAGGTCATCAACGGTGGCTCTGATGCTGATGACAAGTCCACCACCACCAAGCCCTCCACCAAGACTTCTACCTCTTCTTCTGCCACCACCCTCAGCACTTCCATCTCCTCCACCGCTGGCACCAACAACTCTAGCAGCACCTCTGCCCCTGCCTCTGACGCTACTCCCACTCCAAGCGGTACCCAGGGTGGCGAGAATGCTGCCGTCACCGGACCAAACACTCCCAATCAAACCGGTGCCGCTGGCAGAATCAACATGAACATTGGTTCCGCCGTCGTTGCCGCTCTCTTTGGCTACCTTGTTCTCTAAATGGTTAGAAAAAGAGGATAGATTTGTTTTTTTGTTGGGTTGGCTTTTGTTTTGATTCTTCAATCTCCCACTTTCACCGGGGCTATTTTGCGTCTTCGATACAATCCTTTTTTTTTTAACCCTCTTTCTGTTGAAGCGACGATCTCAAGATCAAGATACATTTTAACATCTAGATGATGTTTACTTGTTTTTGTGGGATTGTCGATAAAACAGAAAAAGGCTCGATACCCCCTTTTTTACAACAGCACATTTGTTTAATCCACCGGTGATTTTTGTCCGGGAGAGAGAGATGATTACATACACGGAGTAGATGAAAAGATGTTCATGAGGTCTTATATATTTTTATGGGTTTGAAAGTATGTACGTACAAGCAAAAGAACAAGAACGATGTATATTTGATGCAGCGATATTTTTTGTAGATGAGTGTTTTACTCTTTGGGTATATTATTTTGGAAAGAATAAAAGTATTAGTTGCTTTTAAGTTTTTTTTTGTTTTTTTTTCGTACAAGTGATTTTGGCCATTTGGTAGTTGTGAGAATGAGAGAGGAGATGTTTGAAGTGTATATAGAATATGCTGTTGAAGTTGAAATGTCGTTATGATTAGGTATGCCGCTTTGTGGTTTATTTTTAATTTATTTGCCGCTGCTTTAGATATGTAGATCAGTATCTTTGTGTTTATTGTATGTACATGTACATGTACCTGGTTGATGGGTTCTGGCGGAATGAATGGGTAAATCTTTGAGCCGTGTGTGTCTTTTTTGGTTGGGTGGGAGTCATGTGAGATATCCGATGTTTTGATTTATTAATGGGGTTTATCGGGATTTGAACATCTTCTTGTGGAATAATGATTCTTTTTGTATAGGGTTTTATTTACTTGATGTACATACGAGGAGAGAATAGTTATTTGTGGAAGATGAAGTTGGAGTTGGGTTTGTGCAGATTGATCGACAGGTACACTGGTATACAGGAACGGGAAATATGCGGGATCGGGAGTTGAGACGGGCGGGAGATGTACTGTAGTTCTGTAGTTCTTTGGTAGGATAGTGTAGATGATGAGGTCATCCCGCTTTTGACTTTTAATTATTGGATTGGACCGGCGGGAAGATGATGTGTGTGGGGGGATAAACTTGTCAAGAGTTTGGAAAGAGAGGAAGTGCGGGGAAATGGTTAGTTACTTGCCTAAAGTTGGTGTGCCTAATCTTTTTCCATCTATCTATAAATTCAAGGTTATTTTTTCCTTTCTTCTACTTCTTCATCTTTAACTTTGGAATGAATAAATAATTCTTGAACAAAAAGAAGAAAGAAGAAGAAAAGAAAGAAAATGGCACCACCAAAAACTTATTCGTCAATCTCTGCATTTCACTCTAAATTATTGGGAGCAAAAAGGATTTTGGCGGTATGCGGTGCAGGATTATCTGCTTCTTCGGGGTTACCTACTTTTCGTGGAAAGGGAGGGATGTGGAGGAATCATGAAGCTATGAGTCTTGCGACGTTGGATGCTTTTGAGAGGGATCCGGGGTTGGTTTGGATGTTTTATGGTTATGTAAGTTTTTTTCTTTTCTTCTCCCTTTCTTTTTATGTCGCTTGGTTTGTTATTTTCGTGCGGTCAAAGTCGGTTTGTCACGGTAATATATAAAGGAGATACATGATGAAAGTTAGTGGGCTAATGCTGGTTATTATGGTGGTGAAATAGAGGAGACATATGGCTTTAACAGTCAAACCGAACGCTGCGCATTATGCTTTGGCTGAGCTTGCTAGAAAAGTTCCGGGATTCATGTGTTTGACTCAGAATGTTGATAGTAAGTCTACTCTTTTACATTTTTACCTTGTTGTATCACATCTTGATGATTTTGAGGCACTTTGTAACCTAAATCTACCACCAAAAAAATAATCTCCATGCCATACCTGTACCTCAGATATACTGACATTATATCCAGACCTCCACATCCGAGCATCACATCCCCCCTCCCAACTAAAACTCCTCCACGGCTCCCTCTTTTCCATAAAATGCACCCGCTGTTCCTTCCTCCAACCCTCCAACGCCGACGACCCATTTTGTCCCGCCCTAGCACCCGCCTCTCTCCCCCCTCCCCCTAACCAACCTCACCCAATCTTAGACCCCAATACACCATTACCCTCCGTTCCAGCACAAGACCTCCCCCATTGTCCTAAATGCCAAATTGGCCTTCAAAGACCTGGAGTAGTCTGGTTTGGCGAACAACTTGATCATCAAATGTTGGAGGATATCGATAAATGGATTGAAGCTGAAAAAGTGGATTTGGTTTTGGTTATTGGGACTTCAGGGGTGGTTTGGCCTGCTGCTGGGTTTTCGGAACAGGCTAGGACGAAGGGGGAGACTAGTGTGGTGGTTGTTAATATGGAATTGGAGGAGGGTGGAAGGAATAATAGACCTGAGAAGGAGGATTTTGGGTTTGAAGGGGATGCGGCGGTGTTGTTGCCTAGGTTGTTGGAACCGATTATTGGGAGGATGGTTGTGGAAGAGGAGGGAGAGGTGAGGTGGGTTGGTGGGAGGTCATAAGAAGAGAAGGAAGGGAAGGGGGGGGGGGTTATTAAGTGTTGCTAATAAGAGAACAAAGAAATAAAAAAACAAGACATTCTACTACGTGACTTGATCATACTTCTTTCACCAGGGAGAGACAGACCCGTGGCAAAACTAAAAAGTCCATTGTTCCGTTTCGTCTTTTATTATTCGGCTTGAAATATATAGGTACCAAAACCTACTCATAGACTCATTATTAAGACCACACACACACACATATATATATATAGACCAGAAAAAAAAGTCATTTGATTTTCTAGGTAATGCATTTGCACAGGATAACATATAATCTAGGCGTAGCAGTTACACATGGCAAAGAAATAAAACACAGACAAAAGATAAAGATGTATAATCTAAAAATAATACAGGACTTATGCAAAACGGATTTTGACTTGATGAGTTAGATAATTAATTTGGGAAACTACTTCTTCATGCAGGAAAAACACTGTGCTTATTATTGCAACAGATATATAAGTCGAGTTTGGCTTTGTCAAAGCCAACAACCATGTCTATGGTTCTTTACAAAAGCTGCGTGGCGCAGCGGAAGCGCGCCGGGCTCATAACCCGGAGGACACTGGATCGAAACCAGTCGCAGCTAATTTTTTGGTGAATTTTTTTTAAAACATCTTTGGAAACTTTTCCTGGCTATGAGTGGAGTCAAAATCATATCAAAACAAAAGCCAGGCAATCCTTGCTCATCCAAAAGCTTGACCCCTGAAATGATGAACCCCTTGTTGAAGCTTTATCCGTGTAAACAAGCCAGCAGCTCAAAACTAGACATCAAACTGAAACATTTATTATGTGATACCTGTATGTTCATCAGCCAATGAACTAATCATGATCGATTTTTAAAGGCAAGTATAGAATGTAAAGAATATATATTTATTAACCCCCAAAAAAAACATCCTTAATAAAATGCCAAATTATCCACAAACCCAAATACCAAATATCAACAAATGGGGTATCTAACATAAGAGACATATATGCCAAAAACAACTTCTCTTTCAAAAATAAACCTGTCAAAATCCTCCGCAAAAAGTTATTAAATCTCCAACCCTTTCCCACCAGCCTGAACAACAAGAACACTTGCTTTAATCCCAGTAGTAATCATCTGATTTGCCACAGCACCAACAGTTCTCTTCATATCTGGCGTCACAGTGCTTCCGCTAGCAACAGCAGGTAACTCATCCAATACAGCATGCCTTCGCCCAAGAACGATGACATCTCCAGCATTGTTGGGCGTCTGACCAACAGCTTGTTGAGCAAGCAACAAAACATCCGTCAGGGCAGACTTGGCCGAGATATCTGAATCAGTAAAAGTCAGGCGATCAACGAGATCCTCAGACAGTGTCTTTTGGACTGAAGCAAAGAATGCGCGATCTTGATCACTGTTGACCTGTTTAATGACCTCACTGGGCGGTGTGGGTGTGCAATCCTGAGACTCAACCGCGGTCTTGGTCTCGCTAGAAACTGAAGGCGCGGTATTCGTCTTGGAGGTGTTTTTCTCGCCGTTTTCAGGCCAGTTGAGGCGTACAACGGATGCGGTGACATGCGGGTTCTTGGCGAGCTGAAGCACAATCCGAAGGGCAACTCGGTCATCTGCACCGCCGAAGAATGGGAAAAAGATGTGATGACTCTTGTTGGCGACAGGAAGGGTTGCTAGTTCGCGATTGCGGAGGGAGATGGCGCTCTTGGTGCGAGTGAGATCAGGACGGTCAACGGGTTTAGCGATGCCGCCGAAACCATTATCAATAAAAATACCAGTGTTGCAGGTGCTGACGGCCTTTTCAAAAGTCTGGTTGATGAAGTCGAGATGGGTGATGGATTTGAAGCGCTCAGTGGTGTTGACAGAGACTGGGAATGACTGGTCTTCTGAAGTGCTGCCACATTCGCCCCATGGAATGAGTGCAAAGTCTGAGGAAACATCAGAAGCCTGACCCATCAATGTCTCTGCATATGCATCCGAAGGGACGACCGAAACACGTCCGGAGACTGCGACATCGTGAAGCTGAGAAAATGTACGAAATGCGTTGACCACGGGATCGTGGAGTGAGTAGAAATCCTCGCCCTCAGTCAGGTGCATCACTGACGAAGTACGGTCGGTAAGTTCGAGAACGCGCAGACCGTGTACTTCGAGCGGCCTCTTTTTGATCTGGATCTCTGTATCCTGAGCCTCGCCCTCGGGGGTTTCGTGTTTGACGGTCTTTGCGGTACCCTCTGCGCTGAGAAGAGTGATAAAGGTAAACAGACTGGGAAGACTGTCGAGACGAAGATGGACCATGAGGCGTCGGATTTGTGAGTCACCTGACTTCCCAACAGATGTTCCCTGGTCAGGCTCTGGCGCATTCAGCGGGTTGCCATCCCAATCAATCTCCCCACGTCTCCACCTCTCAACCTTCTTTTGGTACCAAGGGGGATATAGGGCTTTGGTGATGGGAGTTGTGGCCACCGTAGTAACCAAGGCCATGACCACGAACATACTGAAGGTCCTTGCAGACAGAATGCCTGCTTGGTAACCAATATTCTAACAAATGCATTAGAGTCAAAATATCCCACATCGGAGAGATGGACACTTACCAGGACAATAAGCTCAACCAACCCTTTGCAGCTCATAAGAGCGCCAATTGTAAAACTCTCGCGCCATAGAAGCTTGTTTGCTTTGGCAGCAAGGGTGCCACCGATGATCTTGCCAGCAAAAGCGCAAGCAATAATCGCAATGACATAGCCCCATGTGACGCCGTCATTCAACAAACCCAAGTTGGTGTTGAGCCCGGAAAGGGCAAAGTAAAGAGGGAGGAAGAGAACGGATATCAGATCCTCGATCTTTTCAGTCAGCTTGATGGCGAAGCCACCATCGTGAGGGCAAATCAGTCCAACCAAAAAGGCTCCAAAGATGGGGTGAACACCAATAATTCCTAAATCCGTTAGTAAGCCGTTTTGGGGATCTCCGGGAAGAACCAACCCACCAGTAAACCAAGAGGATGCGAGAGTGAGGAGCATCGTGAGTGCGACCATGCCCTGGGTAGGGCCGTTGTGAAGACTTCCTGTCCTCTTGAGGAGCCACATGAAGACGGGTCGGACGAGGAAGACGAGGAATAGGGTCCATCCAATACAGCACAGCAAAGCCCACAGGGCGGCGAGGCCGTTGCTGTTGTTTACCAAAGCGACGCAGAGTGCGAGGAGCACCCAACCCGTGACGTCGTTTCCAATCCCGGCGGCCAGAGTGGTGACACCAACGCTGGATCGGAGCAAATTCAGCTCGGAGAGAATTCGGCACAGCACTGGGAAGGCGGTGATGGAGAGTGCGGTGCCGATGAAGAGGCCATAGACGCCAAAGCTGATGGGCTCCTTCCCGTCTGCAAGGTCAGTAACATGAAACTGATGATAGATACCCCAAGCGATGGCAAAGCCGAGGCCAAATGGTAGGGCCATGCCGGCCATGCCAACACTCAGTGCGGCTTTCCAGTTCTGAGTGAACAGACGAACATCAACCTCCAAAGCAACGAGGAATAAAAAGATGATGAGACCAAGATTGGCGACATTGCTAAATACCGGCATGGAGGCGGGAGGAAATATTGTTTCTTTAAATCCGGGTATTCTCATCATCACCGTAGGGCCCAAAATGATACCGCCGATAACCTCGGCGATAACACGGGGCTGGTGGAGAAGGCGAAGGGGATCTGGAACAAACAGTCAGCCACATAACCAGCGGCCGCAGAAAGCCGTTGTGGGATTTAGTAACTCACAATGCAGCAACTGGCAAAATATGATGACAATAATGGCCTATCATTGGTTGGACTATTGTTAGCCAGCCACCATCTGAGACATGGCAGGCCGCCATGGGTCTGGTCTGTATCTTACTTGAATAATGAACAAGGAAATTGGGTTAGAAGGGCTATACGCGATTGGGTTGACTCCCTCGAGGACGCCAGCCTGTGGTGGCGCCCCAGAGCCCGAAGCAGTGCCGGATATGTCACCACCAGCCATGGTGATGACTGATGTCGGGCGTTCGTTCTATGTCAATATTTCGCGTGTATGTATCGAGGGTCGGTGGCTGAAAGACTAAAAAGATGGGTCCACAATAATTGAGAGAGGGAGGAGAGGGAGGGAGGAAGTGAATGCGTCTCAACTCTGGTCTGGCCGGGCAACCCAGGGTCGAAACAAACAGACCACGATGGTGGGAAAAAGAAGCCAGATGCGATCCGTCTCATGGGTCGGGAAGTGCACAGGTAGAAATACATATACTTGGGCGCATCAGCAAAGGTAGCCGCTGACTGTTTGATGCCGAGAAACCAAATGTGTAGAGGGATCTGGGGTTCCCGGTCCCACGCCCCCCAGAGGTAGGGTACATGTGATGGGTAAAGATAGGCTGTGCCCAGCTAGAATGAAAGCTTATTGCCTTGCTAGCAAATTGCTTGTTGTTTCTTCTTCAGCCAACGAACAACTTGGCGGTCAACAGGGAAAAAGAAGACTTGATGGGTTTCTCGTTTCTCATTCCGCCACCTGAGCCGCTGATTCTTTGTCCAGCTGACATTGGCATTCAGTGTGCGACACACCTTCCCATAATGGATGGTTGAGAATGCATGAAGCTAGAGTTTCCACTTCCCCTCTTTCCAGAAATGAAGCCCGATGATTTCCCCTCTCCCGTCTTCAACCTTGATGGCAAGATAAGGCATCATCATCTCTCAGGGATGTTTGATGCAACTTCCCAAGATCCATGGATTGTGGATGGTCGGTCTAGACCTGACGGTGCACAGACACTGCGGGACTAGCGGTGTGCCAAGCATCCGGCCCCGAACCCCGGACTCCAACCTCGATAATTTTGACAAGACCATCTCGTTCTTTCTCTTTTTATCACCAATTGTGTCACAACCCGATGTTGCACCGCGTTCTGACAATTGAAACACAACATTTCTTATCAAGCATTTTTGATGGAGTCTAGACCTCGTTTTTCGGAAAGACTAACCAATGTAGTGTATGTGTCACCAACCCTAACCCGGCAATCCTCGGCATATCTCCCACTAACCATTCATCTCAATCTCATCATGGGCTCCGTCCACGGGTACCGACAGGTACAGGGTATGCTTTTTCTCGAGATATTTTACGATAATGAGCATGCCTTGCATCCCTTTGTTTTGCTGCCAATCAGAAAAAAGAAACGGCAGAGATGTTGACCCTGCTGACCACGCCTTTCAACAACGAAACTGAACAGCATCATTGTTTCTATTCTTGAGCAGCAAGATTCTTGGCAAAAAGACCAAAGATACTCGAAACGACCATGTCTTGACCTGGAGAAGTATACACCATCAGCCTCCTTGATCCCATTTGTTTCACAAAACCCAAGGTGAGCCCTCCTACCAACTCGTTGCCGCACGGCACAGCCAAGACAATTGTCACGGAATTTTTTGATGGCGGCCATTCCCTGGGAACGGTAGATCTGCGCCACTATCAAAGGTGACCCAAGCTTTAGATCTCAAGATTCAGATCTCACTATGCACAGAAAGGTCTCCTTGAAGACCCTCGTTAGTCATACAGTTTACCACCAACAATTCCCGGCAATGGATTCCCATAACACAAGGACAGACCCGGGCCGGTTGG